ATTTGCCACCTGCTGCCCAGCACGCTGTGGGGGTATTTGCCACCTCCTCCCCAGCACACTGGCTGCCCAGGGCTTCTCCTTTGCTGCTCTGATGAGTGAGAGGTTGTTCTCAGGATCTCTTTTCTTTTCTTTTTTTTTTTTTTTTTTTTTTGAGACAGAGTCTCACTCTGTTGCCCAGGCCAGAGTGCAGTGACGTGATCTCAGCTCACTGCAAGCTCCACCTCCCGGGTTCACGCCGTTCTCCTACCTCAGCCTCCCGAGTAGCTGGAACTACAGGTGCCCGCCACCACACCCGGCCCGGCTAATCTTTTTTTCATTAGAGATGGGGTTTCACCAGGTTAGCCAGGATGGTCTCGATCTCCTGACCTGATGATCCACCTGCCTCAGCCTCCCAAAGTGCTGGGATTACAGGCATGAGCCACCGCGCCCGGCCCTGTGTTTTCTTGCCTGTGAAGTCTTTTCACACCTTTGCCTGCCTTTCTGCTGCAATGTTAGCTGTTTTCATCTTCTAGGGGTTCCTGGTATGTTAGAGAAATTCATCCTTTGAGATACCAAAAACATTTTTTTCTAGGTTGTCTTTCGAATTTGCTCATGGTGGTTTTTGCCATGGAAATTTTTATTTCGACATAGTCAAAGTGGTCAACCTTTTATGTTGTGGTTTTAGGGTCTACAGCATACATAAAGAGGCCTTCTTTGCCTGAGGGTTTTTATTTGTTTATTTGTGTTTGTTTGTTTGTTTGTTTTTTGAGACGGAGTCTCGCTCTGTCGCCCAGGTTGGAGTACAGTGGCCAGATCTCAGCTCACTGCAAGCTCCGCCTCCCGAGTTTACGCCATTCTCCTGCCTCAGCCTCCTGAGTAGCTGGGACTACAGGTGCCCGCCACCTCGCCTGGCTAATTTTTTGTGTTTTTTTGGTAGAGATGGAGTTTCACCGTGTTAGCCAGGATGGTCTCGATCTCCTGACCTCATGATCCACCCATCTTGGCCTCCCAAAGTGCTGGGATTACAGGCTTGAGCCACCGCACCTGGCCTGTTTGTTTTTGTTTTTGTTTTGTTTTGTTTTTTTTGAGACAGTCTTGCTCTGTCACCCAGGCTGGAGGGTGGTGGCACAATCACAGCTCACTGCAGCCTCAAGCTCCTGGGCTCAAACCATCCTCTCACCTCAGCCTCCTGAGCAGACGGAACTACAGACGTGCACCACCACACCTGGCTAATTTTTGTATGTTTTGTAGAGACGGGGTCTCACTGTGTTGCCCAGGATGGTCTTGAACTCCTGGCCTCAAGTGATCCTCCTGCTTCAGTCTCCCAAGTGCTGGGATTGCAGGCTTGATCCACTGCACCCAACCCTGAGGGTTATTTTTTGATAACAGGTTTATTGAGGGATAATCCACATACAACTCACTCCTGTAAAGTGTACAGTTCAGTAGCTTTAGTGAAGCCACAGGGCTGCACGACCATCACCACTGTCTAATTCCAGGACATTTTAATATCCCAACGTAGCCCGTACTCACCCCCCTCCCATCGCCACCGCCACAGCCGTTACTGAATGTAGACAGAGCTGCTTCGTGTCTCTGTGGATTTGCTTGTTCTGAACATTTCAAACAGATGGAATCACACAATATGTGGTCTTATTTTTTTGTTTTTGAAACAGGGTGTCACTATGTTGCTTAAGCTGGTCCCGAACTCCCGGGCTCGAGCGATCCTCCCACCTCAGCCTCCCAAAGTGCTGGGATCACAGGCGTGAGCTGCCACGTGCGGCCGACATGTGCGGTGTTTTGTGTCTGGTTTCCTTCTGGTGTCCAGTGATCACCTGGGCAGTGGCATGTTTCAGAATTGCGTTGCTCTTTTTTTTGTTTTGTTTTGTTTTTTTTGGGGGGGTGGGGGGGCGGAGTCTCGCTCTGTCGCCCAGGCTGGAGTGCAGTGGCGCGATCTTGGCTCACTGCAAGCTCTGCCTCCCGGGTTCAAGCGATTCTCTTGCCTCAGCCTCCTGAGTAGCTGGGATTACAGGTGCCCGCCACAATGCCCGGCTAATTTTTGTATTTTCGGTAGAGACAAGGTCTCACCGTGTTGCGCAGGCTGGTCTTGAACTCCTGACCTCATGATCTGCCCACCTCTGCCTCCCGAAGTGCTGGGATGACAGGCTTGAGCCACCGCGCCCGGCCGGCATTCCTCTTTATGGCCGAGGAACCCTTTATGGTGTGGCTCAATCACATTTAGTTTATCTGTGCTTCTGTGTACGGACCTGGGGCTTGTTCCCGTTCTTAGCTGTCACGAAGAACGCGCCGTGAACGTTCGTGTGCATGTCTCTGGGTCTTGGCATCTCTTAGGGTGCAGAGGAATTGCTGGGCTCTATGGTAACTCTGTTTACCATTTTGAGGAACTGCCGGACTGTTAGTCACCACAGCCGGAGGTTCCCACCAGCAGCATACGGGGGCTCTGATCTCTCCACATCCTCTCTAGCACACTCCCCTGTGCCACTTTGACCTTGCCATCCTAGCGGGGAGAGGTGGTAGCTCATTGAGGTTTTGATCTGCGTTCCCCTGACGGCTAACAGTGCTGAGTGCCTTTGCGTGGCCGAGTGGCCATTTGTGCATCTTCTTTGCAGAAATGTCAATTCAAATCCTTCCCCATTTGTTTATTTATTTATTTTAATTTTATTTTATATATCTTTTGAGACGGAGTCTCACTCTGTCACCCAGGCTGGAGTGCAGTGGTGCGATCTCGGCTCACTGCAAGCTCCGCCTCCCAGGTTCACACCATTCTCCTGCCTCAGCCTCTCCAGTAGCTGGGACTACAGGTGCCCACCACCATGCCCGGCTAATTTTTTGTATTTTTAGCAGAGATGGGGTTTCACTGTATTAGCCAGGATGGTCTCAATCTCCTGACTTCGTGATCCGCCCACCTCGGCCTCCCAAAGTGTTGGGATTACAGGCGTGAGCCACCGTGCCCGGCCTCAAATCCTTCCCCATTTTTAGGCCGAGGTGGGACGATGGCTTGAGTCCAGGAGTTTGAGACCAGCCTGGGCAAAAGAGTGGAATCTCATCTCTATTAAAACAAATTAAAAGTATACATATATACATATATGTATACTTATACATATATACATATATGTATACTTATACATATATACATATATGTATACTTATACATATATACAAGTATACATGTATATATACATATATGTATAAGTTAAAACCCTTACCCATTTATTTTTTATTTTTACTTTCCTTTTTTTTTTGCAGAGATAAGATCTTGCTCTTTTCCCATGCTGGAGTGCAGTGGTATAACCAGAGCTCATAGCCTTGACCTCTTGGCCTCAAGGGATCCTCCCGCTTCGGCCTCCCAAAGTGCTGGGATTACAGGCGTGAGCCGCTGCGTCCAGTAGAGACAGGGTCTTGTTCTGCCACCCAGGCTGGAGTTCAGTGGCACCATCATAGCCCACTGCAACCTCAAACTCCCAGGTTCAGGCCATCTTCCCACCTCGGCCTCCCTAGTAGCTGGGACCACAGGTGTGCGCCATCACGCCTGGCTAATTTTTTTTTTTTTTTTGAGAGACAGGGTCTCACTATGTTGCCCAGAGTGGTATCGAACTCCTGGCCTCAAGTGGTTCTCCCACCTCGGCTTCCCAAAGTGCTGGGACTACAGACGTGAGTCCCTGTTAATTTTTTAAACTTTAGAACCATTTCTAGGTTAAAAAAAATACATCATCATAATAAATTTTGTTGCTGGTTTTTGGCAGTTATTATAAAAAAACACGTAGACTCCCGTGAGGAGACATTTCTCCACCTCCCTGTGTCTCTGGTCGAGGCTCCTCTGCATCCTCGGGAGCACACGCCGGTTTTCCCGTGGAGACCTGAGACGTTTCCCATCCAGCGACTCAGACAATTTGTCCCGTTGCTGTTGGTGACAGGATCTCTCCTTGTATTTGAGTTTTCTATGGAAAAGCCATTCGTTTTCGAATTTTACATCGGTGCCAGCCTCTTGTTGCTTGTGATGTCTCCAGCTACTCCTCCGGGCCCTCCCCTTTTATGGCCGTGTGATCCTCGGAGCAGGGTGATGTTAGGGGACGTCTGTCTGGCTGGGCCTGGCCGCGGCCTCAGGCGAGCTGCATTCAGGAGCTTGAAGGTGCAAACAGTGTCTCCCTCGGTGGGGGGGGGGGCGCTTAGAGCATAGCAAGCAGAGCCTCTCCCATGCCCTCGGGGCTGGCGTGGGGTGTGGTGGCCCCTCCTGCCCCGCTCGAGGCTCACCACACCTGGCTGGCGGCAGGGTCAATGCCAGCGTCCACCCTCAGGGCCTTTGCACCTGCCAGGAGCACAGTCCATGTGCCAGCCTCCTGGAGCATCAGCCTCCTGGAACGCCAGCCTCCTGAAATTCCGGCTTCCTGGAGCTCCTCCCCTGCTTCACGGCACCGTTTCCTTCTCCATCAGCCTGTTTTGTAAATGTGTTGTGGGTCCCTGCAGTGTGTCCCTGCAGAGTCCTCTCGGAGACTCTGTCCCGGCCACGTCTGGGTCTCTCGCTCACCAGTCCCTCTCCAGGCCCCCATGTCTGGCACCTGTTGGCTCTTTGCTAAATGTGAGCTGGGGAGCTGGGTGAACGGGGAAGTCCCTGCTCTCTGGGGCAGAGATGGGGGTCACAGGATGCAGCCAGCTCTCTCCCACGGGACATGCAGTGTGGGTGGACTCAGGATGGCTGGTGTGGGTGGACTTGGGGGTTGAAACAGTGGGGCAAACCTCAGACCCATCCTCAAGAGGGGCCTGGCCCCTGGGCCCCCTTTGCCGGGACCCCATTGGACGCTGGCTCCTTCCCTGTGCCAGGGGAGGGTCCATCACTCAGAAATGGTGTCCCTGGGGCAGGAGGAGGTGGGGGTTCCCGTCCTGGCGCTGGCGGAGGCCTCGGAGCCTTGGTCTGTGGGTCCCTGCGGTGACAGCCCTGAGCGCAGCCAGTACCTCCTGGACTACCCCTGGGACCCCAGGCCTCTGACCTGGCCGCTCCTCTCTTGCAGTTCCTGGCCTCCCACGGGAACGATGCCGCGAGAGCCAGGTTCGAGTCCAAAGTACCCTCCTTCTACTACCGGCCCACGCCCTCCGACTGCCAGTGAGTACAAAGGGGTCTTGTCAGGGCCGTGCTCAACAGCGCTGGGCGGTTCCGAGATGGCCCCGGGAGGACCCGGCAGGGTGGCGAGTTGGGTGCCGCCCACAGGGTCCGGGAGAAGCCAGCCGCAGCTGAGTCCCCCGGACCCTAAGGTGCTGCCTGTGTCTGCTGCCCGCCATTGGGCTTTGGTTCTGGGGCGGGGGGCGGTGGGCGCTGGGGTGGGGCTGGAAAGGTCATTCTGCATCAGTAGCTGCAGCCCACCCGGGTTCACTGGGGCCTTGGGGGTCTCAGGTGGATCTGAGGGGGCCTCCCAGGTGCTCCCGGCAGTCTGGGAGGAGGACGGGAGGGGCTGCTCTTGTTCGGGGCCTGCCCTGGCTCCTTGGGGTGGGAGCAGACGTGGGTACCGGTGGCCGGTTGGGGGAGCCTGAGACCCAGTCCTCTGGGCATCCTGGGGTCAGGAGGTTGCGGAGAGAGAGGAAATGAGGCCTGCTTGGCCTCACATCAGCCACCTCCACCAAAACCCACCCCTCCAAGCCTCAGTCTCCCCATCTGCCCGGACAGTGGGAATGACAGGTGAGAACCACACAGGGCCCGGCCTGGCTGTTCGCACTGACCCTCTCACACCTGTCATAGGGGAAGGACGTGTGGCCCACTGGGTGCCCTCCCGGACCCCCATGCTTCCTGCTCCGGTTCAATCCCAGCCCCACCGGGCACCGCCCAGTCTCCTGTTTGCTCAGCACCTCCCTCCGTTGACTCACTCCGTGAACCCACTGAGTGAAGGACCCACCCCACAGAGACACCCCGAGCACGAGCTGGGTGCAGGGTTTGGGTGTGACCCAACGGCACTGCAGGAAAAGCGGCGGGCGCCTGGCCTCCCAGGCCCTGAGGGGCCCAAGTGCTGTTGTTGGCTTTGCCCTGACTTGGGGGCTGAGACAGCCTGGGCTCTGCCCGCCCAGGAGCTGCTGGTGGGGACTGCAGTGACCAGGGGGCCTTCCCCCGCATTCAGGGTCCTGTTTGGGGTCTGTGTCCCCTCCAGTGAGCTCCATGAGGGGGCAGTGGGGTCAGGGGTCCTCACTGGATCCAAAGGCCTCTGGAAGGTGGGTGGGGATTGGGGGGTAGGGTGGAGGGGAGCCAGAGGGAAGAGGGAGGAGGGAGGGGGAGGAAGGACGGACTTCCTGGCTGCAACCCTACAAACCACCCAGGGCCTTTTTTTTTTTTTTTTTTTTTTTTTAAATATAGAGATGGGATCTCCCTACATTGCCCAGGCTGGCTGCAAATTTCCGGGCTCAAGCGATCCCCCTGCCTCAGTCTCCTAAAGAGCTGGGATTGCAATGCGAACCGGCCCTCCGGGGGTCTTTGGGGAGCAGGGGCTGGAAGTATGTTCAGGCCACGAGCGACTCAGTTTCTTTGACTGCATGTTGATTTGTTATTGGTAAAGGGCCGTGATGCCGGGCCCCAGTCCAGGTGCTTGGCAGGTGTTTTCTTGATGAGCCTCCCGTGAGCCTGGAGACAGGTCCAGCTGCAATCCCCAATCGCCGCTGAGAAGCTCGAGGCTGGCAGCTCAGCCCCAGGCACTCACCTCTCCCCACCTGGACAGGCCTGGGGCCCTGGCCCCCCATACTCTCATTCTGAGACCCCGGGTGCCAGCTGCTCTCTCCCCCACCAAGCCCTCACAGGGGAACCCTGCCCTGGCCCTGCCCCGGGCTCTCGGTATGAATCACGGAGCCCCAGCACAGCTATTTTTGAGACATTATTTTATCACCCCGCCCCCGGCTGCTCTGTGGCCTGGGTCACTGCATCTGAGTTCCTCCCACTCTCTGGCTGTTCTGAGTCGGGACCAGGGGCAGACATGGGTGCGGGGGGCTGCGGGGACACGCCTGTGGGCTCGGGGGCTGCTGCTGTGGGGTCCTGGGTGAGGAGACTCCCAGGGCTGACGCCCACCATCTGGGGTGAGGTGTGAATCCCTGTATGAGCCGTGGATGCTGTGGCATGGCAGGGGTGCAGCGCGGACCTGCTGTGTAACCTGGGGGTGGGGGTGCAGTGCGGACCTGCTGTGTAACCTGGAGGGCAGGAGGTACCTACATCCTGCCATTTTGTGGTCCAGCTCTGTGGCCCAGGGGGCCCAACCACCCAGCCTGGCAAGGTGGGCAGGGGCCTTGTCCACCTTCCTCCCACTTCTGCCCCCACAGAGATTCTCCCAGCCCCAGCAGCCCTGGTGCCCATGGCCTCTGTGCAGCCTGGACAAGCCTGGGTCCGAGTTGAAGGTCTTTACGGGAAAGCACTGCTGCACAGATGTCTAGGTGGCATCTTCACAGGAGCTAGAGTGGCGGGGAGGGCCCGGAGCAGGGTCCCGGAAGGCCCCCGATGGCATGCCCTGCGGCCTCCCGGCACACACTGGGGGTCCCTCCAGGCAGGATGTGCACCGTGCCCACCTCCAGCCAAGCAGAGGCCCAGGGCCTCAGTTTGCCCAGCTGTAAGAGGGGAAGGTGAGCCCGCAGGGGAGGGCAGAGGGTCCTGTGTGCAATTATCTTTAGCAGCGGCCTGTGACTCAGAGACCGGGACCCGTCTCTTCCTGTGTCACCCTCAGAGCTCTCCAGTTTCTATCTTGACATCGGGGGAAAGAAAGTCGTGCGGCTGCTCTGCTTGGTTTTACTTCTGGGTGGAAACCAGCCCCTCCCTGCTTCCTGTGTGGCCAGGGGTGATCAGGGCAAGTGAGGGAAGCTGCAGGAGGAGCCCTTGGCTGCTGGCAGCACCTGCTTGGGGCCTCCTCTCTGCCCATCCCAGCAAAGCTCTGGAGCCCCCAGCCCCAGCAAGCCCCCTGTGGGGCAGGTGTCTGGGCGGGACAGGGCTCTGCATCCCTGTCTGGGGCTCCCGGAACAGAGCACCACATGCCCAGCAGCCCAGAGCAACAGAAATCTACTTTCTCCTGGCTCTGGAGGCTGGAGGCTCGAGGCTGCTTCTCCCGAGGCCTCTCTGGGGTGCTTCCTCTCGTGGTGGGCCCTGTGTGCTTGTCTGTGTCCTAGTTCCCCTTCCTAAGGACTCGGGGCACATTGGATTGGGGGCCACCCTGCTCCTGTGTGGCCTCAACGAATCTGCAACCACGATATTTCCAAATAAAGGCACACTCAGGTCCGGGGGTCAGGATGGGGTCACAGTTCAGGTGGTGGCAGCCTCAGAAACACCCAGGATAGACAGTGGAGGCGGGGCCGGGGTCTGGGGACTGAGAGGCGGGGCAGGGGCGGGGTCTGAGGGGTGGGGCGGGGTCAGGGTCTGAGGGGCGGGGCAGGGTGGGGTCTGAGAGGCAGGTGCGGGGGCGGGGTCTGAGAGGCGGGGCAGGGACTGAGAGGCGGGACGGAGGCGGGGCCTGATGGGCGGGGGCAGGGTCTGAGAGGCAGGTGCGGGGGACCGGGGTGTGGGCGGGGTCGTGAGCATTACCCTGGCTATTTTCCCGTAAAAAAAAGGGAAAAAACCCACTTGGGTGAGCCATTGGTCCACTATCTAGAAGCAAAGCCGGGGCCCTGGGGAGTCACTTTCCCAAGAGGCAAAGCCTCCAGGAAGGGTGTTGACCGTGTCCTGAACTCCCTGCGGTAGAAACCGGCAGAACTCGGGCAGAAGGCACACTCAGGAGTGGACCCTCAGGGACGGACTGCCAGCTGCGTGAACAGCACCCCCTATGGAGGCCACAGTGGCCACTAGGACCCGCCCTGGGGAAAGTGGGGAGGGGTCTCCCATGGCATCCTGAGCTAGGGGAGCCCTGTGGGGAGGTGGGTTCTGGGGCTCAGAGCTTCTTCCCCTGTGAGTCCACACCTAGGGGAGGCCGTCGCCCTGAGCACCTGCCCAACCCCCTGCCCCCAGCCCACGTTTTGCTCTGGGTTGAGGGGACCCACCTGACCCTCAGGCCCCGGCTTTGAAGGGGTGGCTGTGGGGGTCCTTGAAGCCTGGCTCCCCGGAGCCCTGGAACTTGGGACACATCCTGGGGCGTGGGGTGAGGTGTGTGTGGTTGGCGCTTTCCGGTGGCTTTGAGTCCTGGCTGCCAGGTGCCCGAAGAACCCCTCCTTGTGACCACTTGGGGGTGTCAGTGTGGCCCCTCCGGGGCTGTGGGAGTGGGGTGGGCTCCAGGCAGTACTGGTTTTCAGGTGATGAGGGGCTTCAGGAGGGCTCCGCTGGGCAGGATGGGGTCCTGCCCCCGACTTCCTGGTGCTCACTCCCTGAGCTTCCTCCTCCTGCTGCTACTTCTGGAAGCTTCTGTGCCAGGCCCTGGGAGGCCCTTGTGTGTGGGTGTGAGCCTTGGGGACCCAGTCCGCACCAGGGCAGGGCTGCAGACCCTGTGGGTGCCCCGCCCTGAGGGCTGTTGGCAGGCCAGTGGTTGTCAAAGCCATCCCTGGCACCTGCCTCTCATCCACAGGCCCCCGGCTTCCACACATGTGGCCTTGGGTCCTCCCGCGACTCCAAGAGGCTACTGTGTGACCCTCGGGTCACAGATAGGACGCTGGGTGCTGGGGGGCAACTCCTCCATGGTCACACAGCCGGAGCGGCTCAGGCAGCTGCACGGTGTCCTCCAAAAAGACATGTTAAAGTCTTTTTTTTTTTTTTTTTTTTTTTTTTGACAGAGTCTTGCTCTGTCGCCCAGGCTGGAGTGCAGTGGCCGGATCTCAGCTCACTGCAAGCTCCGCCTCCTGGGTTCACGCCATTCTCCTGCCTCAGCCTCCCGAGTAGCTGGGACTACAGGCGCCCGCCACCTCGCCCGGCTAGTTTTTTGTATTTTTTTAGTAGAGACGGGGTTTCACAGTGTTAGCCAGGATGGTCTCGATCTCCTGACCTCGTGATCCGCCTGTCTCGGCCTCCCAAAGTGCTGGGATTACAGGCTTGAGCCACCGCGCCCAGCCTAAAGTCTTAACCTGCTGCCCTGTGAAGGTGAACTTATCTGGAAATAGGGTCTGGACACGAGGCTCATGCCTATAATCCCAGCACTGTAGGAGGCCCAGGTGGGAGGATTGGCCCCAGGTGTTCCAGACCAGCCTGGGCAACATAGTGAGCTCACGTCTCTACAAAAAATTAAGAAATTACCCAAGCACACCTCTAGCCCCAGCTACTCGGGAGGTCGAGGCAGGAGGATCCTTGAGTGCAGGGATTGGAGGCTGCGGTGAGCTGTGATCGCACCACTGTGCCCCAGCCTAGGAGACACAGTGAGACCCTGTCTCTAAAAGAAAGAAAAGTATGATCTTTGCAGATGTCTTCAGGTTAAGATAAGGTCGTGAGGTTGTCCTGGAGTAGGGTGGGCCCAAACCTCACAGGGGAGGGGGACTGGGAGACCCACAGGGGAGGCCAGCTGAGGACAGCGGCCGAGGTGGGGGCACCCGTGGCTTCCAGGGGTGGGAGGGACCCTGGAGCAGATTCTCCCCAGAACATCCGGAGGGTACCAGCCCTGCCGACATCTTGATCTCAGATGTTTGGCCTCTGTGACCAAGACAATACGTTCGTGTTGCTTTCGGGGACCGAGTTTTGGGGTGATCCGTTATAGCAGGTGGGGGACACTCAGACACCTGGGGCTGGGGGCCAGAGACCCCTCAGATCCCACAGGACACTCAGACACCTGGGGCCGGGGGCCAGAGACCCCTCAGATCCCACAGGACACTCAGACACCTGGGGCCAGAGACCCAGCTGGGGCCCATCACCCCCGCTTGGGGCCCAACAGCTGAGGCTGTTCACGTGGGCCCAGCGGGAAGCCAGAGGGTTCCTATTTGTTATTTGCCATGTAATTCCCTGGGAGTGGAAAAGGCTGGGGCCGCTGCCTGTGCCCCGGGGCCACACCGAGCCTATGTGCAGGTCGTCGTTTCTGCAACGATATTGGCCTCACTCGAGTGAGTCACGGTGGATGGGGAGGCCGTGGTGGGTGGCTCTGGGCAGGGATGTCTGGGCCCAGCGGGTGCCTTGGGGGCCTTGCTCTCGGGACTATCCTGGGTCTTCCTGGATTCTTGGGTATTTGCCCATAGTTTCTCCTGTTGCCCCGGACGCGTCCTGACCTCGACGGGTGCCCTGACAGCCCCGCCCTGTGTCTCAGAACCACCTGCAAGGCGGCGCTGCGGCCACTTCCCAGATCTGGTCCAACGACGTGGGGAGGGTCGGGGAGGGCCCAGGGGCATCTGACTCAGGGTGGGGGTCCTGGCTTGACCCCTGTACCTCAGCCCTGTGGGGCATCAGCTGAGGCCGAGGTGGGAAGGAGAGGGGAAGAGCCAGCCCATCCACCAGGACGCATGGTCAGAACGTGGGGCCTGACGCTCCAGGGGCGGAACGCACGAGAAACCAATAAATTAACGTCAGAGAGTGAGAAACGTCCAGTGCAGGAGGCTGACCCTGCAGTTCTTTCGGGACCTTGTGCCCAGAGGGGCAGCCCGAGTCTGCCAGGGGCCCCTAGAGCCTCTTGAGATGCCCGGGGTCTGGGCCAGAGACCAGCATGTGCGGGTTGGAGGCCGTCTCAGCGCCGTGGCTCAGTCTCTCCTCTCCCCGCAGGCTCCTTCGAGAGCAGTGGATCCGGGCCAAGTATGAGCGCCAGGAGTTCATCTACCCTGAGAAGCAGGAGCCCTACTCGGCAGGTGAGGCCACCCGGGTGGGGCGGGGCCTCCCAGCTCCCTCTCCCCCTCTCTCTCCTATTTCCGTCTCTTCCCTCCCTTTTGTGCAGTCATTAACCTGGGTAAACACGTTCATGGGTTTGAACCTGCGTCCCCGGACCTCCTCAGACCTGTTTTGTCCTCTGACTCTGAGTGGGGTGACTGGGGCTTGGGGTCCTCACAGCTGTCTACAGTCCAGCCCTGAAGGACTGGGGTACCTGGGGACCCCCTGGGGCCGTGACTGGCCCCTCCTCTGCTGGTGGTGGACACGCGCTTCCATTCAGGGGTGGCCTGCAGGGACCCCTCTCCCGAGCAGTGTGGGCAGGACCCGAGGTCCCGGGTGAGGGGCGTGAGGGCATCCTCTGTGTGGCAACACCGTGTTGCGGGTGTGGAGGGTGCAACCTGGGCCTGCGGCGTCCACCTCCCCTGGGCCTGCCTGGGTGCCACTGGGGGCCCTCAGGGTGGCAGAGACATCCAGGCAGCGTCTCGGAGCTTCGTGGGCTGGCCGGGCTGTGGAGGTGGGAGCTGGGAGGCAGTGCTGTGGGGGCCTGGGAGGCCAGCCCACCCCAGCCTCAGTCTCCCCAGTGCTGCTCAGCTGGCCAAGCCTCAGGCTGCGTCTCCCAGGAGCCCCCAACTCCTGCTTCTCCTTGCGTCTCATTTAAACCCTGGGGCTTTGAGTTGGAGCCCCCAGCCGGGTGGGCCGGCTTCCTCCTGCTGGCTGCTCTGTGTGAGGTGGGTTCGGCGACTGGGGGCCTTGAGTGGTTTTTTCCCCCAGGGCAGCTGTGTGTCTGCACACTGGAGCTTCCTGAGTGCCCCTTCCTCCACTGTGTTGACAGACAGGGAAACCGAGGCAAGCCTAGCCCTAGGGTCTGGTTCTGAACCTCAGCACGGGCGGGGCGGGTCCAGAGGCTGGATGAGGATGTTTGGTGCTGCTGGGCGTGGTCACGTGAGGAGGCAGCCCCCAGGGCCCAGACCTTCAGCCCCAGCACTGCCCTTGTATAAGAGGCTGCCCTGGAATGGTGGCACATGAGGCTGGGCACCTCACACCTGTAATCCCAGCACTTTGGGAGGCCAAGGCCGGGGAGGATCGCTGGTGGTCAGACAAGCCTGGGCAACATAGTAAGTTGCCCTCCCTTTAAAAAAAGAAAAAATTGGCCAGGCGTGGTGGCTCACTCCTGTAATTCCAGCACTTTGGGAGGCGGAGGAGGAAGGATTACGAGGTCAGGAGATTGAGGCCATCCTGGCTAACACGGTGAAACCCCGTCCCTACTAAAAATACAAAAATTAGTCGGGTACGGTGGCGGGCACCTGTAGTCCCAGCTACTTGGGAGGCTGAGGCAGGAGAATGGTGTGAACCCGGGAGGCGGAGCTTGCAGTGAGCCGAGATGGCGCCACTGCACTCCAGCCTGGGCGACAGAGCAAGACTCCATCTCAAAAAACAAAAAAATAAAATTAGCTGGATATGGTGGTACCACCTGTAGTCCCAGCTATTCGGGAGGCTGAGGCAGGAGCAGCCCTTACGTGCAGGAGTTCAAGGCTACAGTGAGCTGTGTTTGCACCACTGCACTCCAGCCCGGGTGACAGAGTAAGACTGTCTTAAAAAACAAACAAACAAACAAACAAAAAAAAACGGGTACAGTGGCTTACGCCTGTGGTTCCAGCATTTTGGGAGTCTGAGGCAGGCGGATCCCTTGCAGTCAGCAGTTTGAGACCAGACTGGCCAACATAGTGAAACCCTGTCTCTACTAAAAATACAAAAATTAGCTAGGCGTGGTTGGCGCACGCCTGTTCAGCACTTTATGGAGGTCAAGGCGGGCAGAGCGCCTGATCTCAGGAGTTCAAGACCAGCCTGATCAATGTGGCGAAACCCCATGTTGCTCATTTTTTGAACTCTACCACAAAATGCAAAATTAGCTGGGCGTGGTTGGCGCACATCTGTGGTTCCAGCTACTTAGGAGACTGAGGTGGGAGGATCTCTTGAGCCTGGGAGGCAGAGGCTGCAGTGAGCCAAGGTTGCACCACTATACTCCAGCCTGGATGACAGAGCGAGAGTGTGTCTGTAAAAAGAAAAAAGATGAATTGTATTTGTGAATCTTACCCCAAGAATAAAGGAACACTTTGGGAGACCGAGGCAGGTGGATGGATCACTTGAGACCAGGAGTTGGAGACCAATCTGGTCAACGCGGCAAAACTGTTTCTACTAAAAAATACAAAAATTAGCTGGGCGTGGTGGCAGGTGCCTGTAATCCCAGCTACTCAGGAGGCTGAGGCAGGAGAATCGCTTGAACCTGGAAGGCGGAGGTTGCAATGAGCCGAGATTGTGCCTCTGCACTCCAGCCTGGGCGACAGAGCCAAACTCTGTCTCAAAATATGTGGAAGAGAGGTGGCCCTGAAATGGCTGAACACAGTCCTGGCGTTGTAGGTGGGGTTGGTGGAGGAGCCCCTAACCCCCAGTGCTGCAGCCCCTCCCGGCCCTCCCTGGTGGAGCTGGCACTCTGCCCCGTCCCGTGCACCTCCCTGGGCTCTGTCAGGACCATGGATTTTCTCCCAGGCGTGGCGCAAGGTGACCAGGGGTGACCAGTGGGAGGCTGCCCCAGGCCTGAGCAAGGCACCTCCCAAGGTCAGGCTGGGATCTCATGCAGCGGCCCTGTTGGCTCTGCCCTCCTCCAGGGCGGCTCCTGCCCCCTCACCCCGCAACCCCCACTTGGCACACAGCCGGCCTGTGCAGGCGTTTTCAGTTACTGTCCACCCAGACAGCAATTTCCTCCTCCTAAGAATCCCTGTGTGTGTGAGGAAGAGAGCAAGAAATGGTCAGGGGGTGAACACACGGGTACCTGGGCCTGCTCAGCGCCCAGCATACCCCTCGCTCTGCGCCTGCCTGAAACCCCCAAAGAGTCACCCCAGAGCCCCTCTGTTTCCCTCAGCAAAAACATCTTAGCAATTTGTAGCAAGGTGGCGCGTGACTTCCTTTCAGAGGCAGGCGTGGGCTGGGCTGGCATGACGACAGGACTGAGTTTTGTGTCTGCTCTTGTATCAGAATCCTATGGTTGTAAAGGATGGAAAATTCAACTGGGTGTGAGCAAAACTGGAAATAGATTGGCTGGAATAACAGGGCTGGCTTCAGGCACAGCTTGATCTAGGCGTCCAGTTGGTGGTGTTGGGCCCTGGTTTCAGCACCACCTCCTCCTAGTTCTGCGTCTCTGGGTTGGCACCAACCCTCCTGGTGGCCACCTCCTTCAGCGAGTTTGGGTTTTACATCCCCGCTCTCCCGGGCTGCCGGGAAAGGTCAGGCGTGGCTCACGGAACTGTTGGGAAAAGTCCCTGTCTCGTCGGCTCTGACCGCTTGGGCCCGGGATGTGACTTGGGAGATGTGGCACCCTGGGTCGTGTGTCTACCTCTGGCCCCTGGGTTCGTCCTTCTGGAGAAGATCAGGGTCTGGGTTCCAGAAGTGGGGGTGCGTGCAGGTGGCAGACAGTGTCTCATGGGCAGTAAGTGCGGGTTCTGCAGATGTATTCGGGTGTCATTGGGCTCAGGGTCAGGAGGTGGTGACAGCCCTGGTGACCCAAGACGCCTCCCGCCCCAGGCCCGAGGCCACCCCATTGGAATCCCGCTCCCGCCTTTGCTGTTGTCTGAGATATTCCCGGTGCCTTGAGAGCATTTGAGATGAGCTAAAGCCTCCTGTGTGACCTTTGGGCAGGGGTCGGAGGAAGGGAGGGGCCACCCACCCAGCAGGGTGGACTCGGGGCCCTTGGGCCTGGGTTGGAGGGAGGGAGGGGTCTCCCAGCAGGGTCCCCTGGGGCAGAGATTTTCAGGCACAAACTGGCTTGCAGGGTCAGAGGCCGGGGCCGTGGTCTTACCTGCTGCCCTCTGAAGGCCACGCTGAGAGAACATCCACTTTCTCATACCAGGCCCGGCGGGGCGGCCACACCTGCAGCTCCAGGCTCATGGTCGGCCTGTGGAGACCAGGCCCCGTGGGCCGTGCCCTCTGGAGTCTACCCTGGATGGGTGTGAGGATGGTGGGCAGGTGCACGGGTGTGTGTGGCACGGGTGAAGTGCGCAGGTTTGAGCGCAGGGCTGGCCCTTTGTGAAGGTGCAGTGAGTGCTGTGGCCAGGTGTTACCTGGCAGGAGTGTGGCAGCCTCTTGCGGAGGGCATGGGGCTATGGACAGCGGCTGCGCCATAGCGTGTGGCTGCTGCATCCCTAAGCACAGGAACACTCAGGCCAGGCTGGAGAGCTCAGAGGTGGGACTGGGTCAAGGGTGTAAAGCTGCAGGGAGAGTATGGTGCGCCCGAGCCAAGGGGAAGGTAGGTTCCCATCCCTCCGAGCGAGGGGAAGTCTCCTATCCCTCCAGAGCGGCTGCTGCCTGTAGCTCCCTCAGGGCCTGCTCAGGGCCCTGTGCATTACTTTTCGAGGCTGCAGGCGGTCCTGGAAGCTGAGGCCTGAGGCCAGTAGCTGGGAGTGCTGGGGTCCCGCCTGTCCCACCGGGTCTTCGCTCCACCGCCGGGTCATTGGTGTTGAAGGTGGAGTCTGGATATGCCCTCCCTGAAAGAGAAAGCTCTCTCACACTGGAAGGGGTGAGTAGGAGACTTCCAGTCCTTTCCTCGGCCTCCTTCCTCGGCCTCCTCCCTCCAGGCGGGTGGGTGACCTTCGGTGCTAGCCTTGTCTCCAGAGGCCTCCTTACCTCTGAACACCAGCTCCCCAGGCCTCTGGAGGCCCCCGTTGAGTGGATAAGAGCCCAGACCTTCACCTCTGCTCCCACTAAAGGGCTGGCGGCTGCAGCCACTGGTAGCGTGGAGGCCTTTAACCCGGCATTCCTGTTCTGTAGTCCTATTTGTTTGTTGTTGTTTTTTTTTTTTGAGACAGTCTAGCTCTGTCGCCCAGGCTGGAGTGCAGTGGTGTGATCTCAGCTCACTGCAACCTCCACCTCCCGGGTTCAAGTGATTCTCCTACCTCAGCCTCCAGTGTAGCTGGGATTACAGGCACCC